GAAGATAATGAAGGTCAGGAGGATGTAGAGGGGTCTGGGCCCGAATAACCCAGTAATAGCCCCAAAGTACAAAAGATTGTTCAAAATAACGGATGTGCACGTTAGAAAAGCACATACTACTACGATAGAGGCGTAGATAAAGAGAGATCCAAGCCACTGCGAGAGTGTGTCACTGGGTTTCCTGGCGGGTTTTAAGACGAGGGATCTTTTTATGTTTGCAGCTTCGTTATTCAGAGAGAAGTTCGAGATAGGTGAGAGTGCAGTCCGCGTGCTGCGTCCTTGCCTGGGCATGGAAAAAAAACAAAAAAGAATATTTATACTAGCACAAATAGAGCTGCATCAAAGGGGCTTCTGTTTCCATGGGGAGTTTGAATTCTGCAATTCGGGGGTTCGGGTTATTTGGGGGTGGGAATTTTCAGAGACTGTGCAGAAAGTGGGAGGCCGTATTTATTCTGAAAAAATTTGCACAGGATGTCGTACGTGAGCACGAAGCCAGAGCCCCCCGCAGAGAACACGATGACCCTGGAGGAGCTAAAACAGGGCCTTTTAGAGCTTTCTGTGGAAGGAACTGAGAAGATCCTCAGAAGCGAGCTTATCAAGCTAATTACAACGGTCGGCAACAAACTCACGCTAAACGAGGCGAACCAAGTTCTCTCCCTCATTCCCACGGCAAATGGCGCAATTGACATTTCCGAGCTGATCAGCAGAGTCCAAAATATTGCGGAATAAATGTGAATTTTTATTTTTTTTTTTGCATTTCTTGATGGACGGAAGACGGAGAGGACACTGGACAAGCTCCTATCTAAAGCGGATAAACTCCACGGAAGTGACGGTGAAAAGGAGGAAAATCCCCCGGAGGAAGACGCTCCCGGAGCCAGGCGCGGAGATTCTCGTGGAATTTGGGCTTTCACAGGAACCCGAAAAGAAGCCTGAGCGCACTCCGGATCGGGTGATTTATACTCCGAAAAGGGAGATTGTATATATTTCCGAAAGTGGAAACATCGTTATTCCTGAAACTCCCTGCAAGACCCAGGATGAGTGCGTCCTGTCCAGTCGCTGCAAGAAAAGACTCTTCACATAAAAGAAAATAAAAGCCGAACACCATAATAGAATGCACAGTAGTAGTATATTAGTTAGTTAGATAGTAAGTTAGATATTTAGATAGTTAGATAGTTAAATGAGATAATATAGTAAGTTAGATAGTTAAATGAGATAGTAATATAGTTAGATAGTTAAATATAGTATAGTTAGATAGTTAAATGAGATAGTAACATAGTTAGATAGTAGTATAATATAGTAAGTTAGATAGTATAGTTAGATAGTTAAATGAGACAATATAGTTAGATGAGATAGTAAGTTAGATAGTTAGTTAGATATAGTATAGTTAGATAGATAGTTAAATGAGATAGTAGTATATTAGATGAGATAGTAGTATAGTAGTATAATATAGTATAGATAGATAATATAGTAGTATATTAGATGAGATAGTAGTATAATTGGCTGGTTGTTATTATAGATAGCTTCTTGCGCTATTTGCTAATTACTGCTTGCTTCCTCTGATTATTCCGGCATAAGAATGAATTTTTCAAAATAAAAACAAAATGGTGCTCGAACCTGCGAGAAGGCCTGTTTTGCGCCCGTGTGAGAGTCTTCTTTCTATGCAGAGCATGCTAAGTGCGTACGAGATACGCAGCATTTCCCTGGAGGAAGGCCTTTTCCCTGAGGCCCTGCTGGGGGAGATAGAGGCCCAGCGAGAGCGGATCCTGCGGGGCATTTTTGCATTTAATGAGGCACGAAAAGAAAAAAACAAAAAACAAAAAAACCATCCAGAAAGTGGGGCGAACCTGGATGAGTTTCAGGCAGTGCGTGCGTGCATGCGGGGGGTTCTTCTGGAGGTTGAGAAGCTGCAGGCCCTAACGGGGAACGGGTGCGTGCGGGAGTGCGGGCAGATTATTCGGGAGATGGAGAAAGTCCATGCAAAAATCTGCGGGGTCTCGGGTTATTCGGGGTTTTTGGGGAGAGCAGGTGCTATTTCTGCGGTGTGTGCGGTATTTGGGCTTGTGGGAGGGTACTTTTGCGCGTGCAAGTTCGGGGATTTCACGCGGTGACTCTGGAGAGAGTTTTTGAGAGAAGAAATAAAAACAATTAGTATTTGTATACGGTGTAAGGGGGGTACTCAGGAGAGGCTTTTTTACTTAGGAAAATATATACGGGAAAGAGAAAAATATGAAGTACTGCAAATGGGAAGTGGGTTTCTTATGTACTGTATGTGGTAAATGGGGAATAGTATATATGCTGTCTAATTGTATGGGTAAAAGGCAGTGTTTCATCTGGCACTGTACTGCAGTTGTCCAATGCTGTTTAATACTGTCTGAATGGCTGTTATGCTACTCATCTACTCATCTAGTGCCTAACAAGTAGCTATTTATCGCATCTAGCACAGTTTAATTACTATATAACTGTCTAATACAGTTTAATTAGTACGAATTATGCTATTAATGTGTCTAATACAGTCTAATTAGTAAGAATTATGCTATAATACAGTCTATTCTGCTATAATACTGTCTTCTAATTAGTAAGAACTATGCTATAATACTGTCCAATACCGCCTTGATTACTAACTATTCTTCTATAATAATGTCTAATTGCTGCCTATTATGCTATAATACTGTCTATTATGCTATAATACTGCCTGATTACTGTGCAGTTCCAGGCAATAGTACTCTTCTGGGCGATTGCCGTTCTTTCGGCGGGAATGCGCTGGGGCCGACAAAATTTGTCACACTCAGAAACTTTTGCCACAAATTTTAACATGGGGGCGGGGGCAGCTCCAGGAATCGAACCTGAGCCTCCCTGCGCCCAAGCAAGGGTCATACCACTAGACCAAGCCACCCCCTAAAAAAGAGTGAAATCTCGGGGCATAAGACGAGGGGGTTTCAGGTAATAAATTTTGAATCTTTAGAGTGCCTGTGGTTTATTTATTGTGCGGGCGGCCGTATTTTGTGTGCCGCGTTTTTCTGGCACTTTTTGCGGGGTGCGCAGTATTTCTGGCACTTTTTGCGCTCTGTGCAGTAGCTAGTGCGCAGGCGTGTGGTAACTGTGCAAAACAAGTGCGAGTTTCTGCGCACTGCGCAATAATTAGTGCAATTTTGTGTAGAGTGCGCCGTAAGTAGCGCGAGTTTTTGTGCAGCGCACACCAATTAGTGCGCGTGCCTGAAAATGTACGTTTTTTCGTATACCTCCGAGCTCCGCCGTACGACGTTTATCACGCTGCTGACGACTATCACGCGAGTCCCCGTGCACGCGAGGGCCCGAATGAGGTCGTACGCGTGCTCCTCCAGGTCTTTCTGCGTGTTTCCCGCTAAAAGCGTGCTCAGAGTGTCGATGCACAGCAGGCGCACCCGATGGGCAGCGTCCAAATGGTGCTCCAGGACCTGAACAAGCTCCTGCAGTGAAACTGCCGTTTTACAGGGCGATTTTATGCCTGAAATCAGGCCTTTTGTAACGACCAAAAGGGTCTTTTCAGATGCGGAGTTTGCATCCACAAGGGCCCGAATAAACCGACTTTTCCCCGTCCTGCGCCCTCCAAGGACCTCAACAGCGACACTCTCCGTTAGAAAAAGCCGTGCAATATCTTGAAAAATCTCATTTTCCAGAAAACCAGCGCATTTTTCTGGGCTGTTTCCGTTCTCTCCATCCCCCCAGGTCTCACTCCGTGCCATCGCATATTCTGCATAGAGCTCGCTTGAGTGCATGGCTGTAAACATCCGCATATTTTCTGCAATATTTTTTTCCCCATGGAATTTACATTGTACAAGAGAAGACATCTTTCAACGCACAGCTACATAGTTCCAACGTATTTTTATCCGATTGCGTACTATGTGGGAACCCTCTTTAAGCTTACGGATGAGCTTAACGGGTGTGCTATTTCCGTCTTTTTTCTTGCGCTTCTGCAGTCTTTTATGTTTCTCTCTTCCTTCTGGGGGAGTGAAGTATACGTGTTTTCAAGGCTTCAGAGGGTCAGGCGCGAGAGCGAGACTGAGATCGTGAAGGTCTCGAAGAGTAGCCCAAATCAAGCGCCCAAGGTCGGATTTGCGCGGGTCTTGGAGAGAACAGCCGTTGTAAAAAGCAGAAAAGAAACGGTCAGGTACTTCGAGTTCGACCACGAAATCTTCTACTTCAAAGAAGGCGCTTCGATACAGAGGCTCAGCATCAACACGGAGATCCCAATTGACAGATACTTCCAGGAATCTCCCCATAAAGAGATGCTAACGGAAACTGAGCGGGTCATTTTCCCGAAAAACGTCTTTAAGATCGACCCTCCTGCATTCACGAAGATGTTTGCCGAGCACGCGGTCAGCCCCTTCTTTGTCTTCCAGATATTCTGTGCCCTCCTGTGGATGCTTGACGAGTACTGGAAGTACTCTCTCTTTACGTTTTTCACGATAATCCTCTTTGAAGGGGGGATGGTCTTCCAGAGATACACGAATATAAAGCAGTTGCGAACCCTGAACCTGAAACCGCAAAATATTTCAAAAAATAACGGCGGAAAAAAAGAGTCCGTCCTCAGCACGGAGCTCATGCCAGGGGACAGGGTCTTTCTGAGCGGGAAGATGGAAGTTCCTGCTGATCTCCTGATACTCTCCGGGGAGGCAGTTGTTAACGAGTCGATGCTTTCCGGGGAGGCAGTTCCCGTCCAGAAGGAAAGTGTCCAGAACCTGAAAAACAGCAAAAAGTCGTTTTTGCTCTCACACCACCGGAAACACGTCCTTTTTGCAGGCACAAAAGTCCTGAAGTGCTCGGATAAGGGCGTGGAGTGCGTGGTCATCCGGACAGGGTTTATGTCCGAGCAGGGAGTCCTTATCAGGTCAATGATCGCATCAGAAGATACCGTTTCTGAAAATAATTTTGAAGCGTATCTTTTTATTCTGGCAATGCTCGTTTTTGCCGTTGGATCTTGCGCTTATGTCGTTAGAGAAAGCCTGAAAATGGGGAAGACCCTCTACAAAATCGGCCTGGAGTGCATTATGATCCTCACGAACGTGGTTCCTCCGGAGCTCCCCATGGAGCTTACAATTGCAGTGAACTCGTCGCTGCAGGAGCTCGTTTCCCTTGGAGTTTACTGCCTGGAGCCTTTCAGGATACCTTTTGCAGGGAGAATTACAACGTGCTGCTTCGATAAAACGGGAACGCTCACGGAGTTGAATCTGCACCTGGAAAGAGTCGAGGCCCAGGATAAAGGCCTTGCAGACGTTGTTTTGGGGACCTGCCACTCGCTCGTGCTTTTGGAGGGAGTCCCAGAGGGCGACCATTTGGACACCTGCGGATTTGAGTTCGTTGGAGGGAACCTGATTCGGGATGACTTCGTGGAAGTGCGCGGGAAGGAGTACTCTTTGCTTCGGAGGTTCTCGTTCGACAGTGCCCTGAAAAGAGCAACGGCTGTGATTGAAAATCAGGGCCAAAAATACGTTGTTATGAAGGGAGCACCTGAAACCGTCAGAGAGTACCTGAAAAGCCTTCCCGAGGGATACGAGAAATACGAGGAGTTTGCAGATGCCGGGTACAGAGTCATCGCCCTCGCTGCTAAGCCCCTCCAGGACCTCCCCGCGAAGAGGGAGAAGATCGAGGCAGAGATGGACTTCGTGGGATTCGCCCTCTACATCTCGAAGCTCAAGGAAAGCGCGAAGAGTACAGTTTCCCACCTGATGCAGAGCGGGCACAGAGTCATTATGATCACAGGGGATAACGAGAGAACAGCAATTAGCGTTGCAAAACAGCTGGGAATGTTTAACGGAAAATTTGTTTCAGGTAGCAAAAAAATTGCAGAGTTCCTGAAAGAGGCAAAATCAGGTGCAGTTTGGCCCTCCGTTTTCGCACGAGCGGACCCTGATGCGAAGGAGAAGACGCTTTCCCTCCTGAACGCCCTGGGAGAGTATACGCTCATGTGTGGAGACGGAACAAACGACGTCGGAGCCCTGAAAACAGCCCATGCAGGAATTGCCCTTTTGGAAAAAACCGTTACAAAAGCAAAAGCTATCACCCTCCCAGGGAATATCGGGCAGTCAATGTTCATCCTGGACGAGGAGGTGAAAGTAAAGCTGGGAGACGCCAGCATAGCAGCCCCCTTCACATCAAGAACAGGCTCCCTGGAGTCCGTTATTCACGTTATCTCCAGAGGAAGATCCGCACTTGTCAGCACAGTCCAAATGTACAAAGTACTCGCTCTTAACTGCCTCCTCTCCGCATACACCCTCAGCGTCTTCGATACGATGGGAATAAAGTACGGAGACCTCCAGATGACAGCCGCAGGACTGCTTTCGGCAGTTTCCTTTACGTTTTTCGGGAAGTCACGACCCCTCCAGAGAATCAGCAGGGAGAAGCCAGTAGCGAAGATCTTCAGCCCGTATATCGTTTGCTCCGTGGTTCTGCAGACAGTAGTACACATTCTCTCGTTTTGTGCCGTTTATAGGGGAGTTGTCAGGCACGAAAATATCACAATGCAGGAGAAGTTCGAGCCCTCCCTCGGGAATACGGCAATGTTCTTGCTGGGAGCTGCCCTGCAGGTGACAACTCTCGTCGTGAACTACGTGGGAAGACCCTTCAGAGAGAGCCTCACAGAGAACAGGAAGCTTCTGAACTCGCTCCTTGCATCTCTCGCAATGGTCGCTGCGTGTACGCTAGAGATTGCCCCGGAGTTTAACGAGCAGATGCAGCTGGTCAGGATCCCTGCGGACCTGAAGATGCGCCTTCTCCTGGTGATGGCAGGAGACTTTGCAGCATGCTTTGCGATTGAGCGGGGAAGCTTCGGGCTCTTCATGCGCGGCCCGAGGGAAAGCTCCGGGAAGGAGAAGAAAGAATAAATCAGCACAGATCGTAAATGTCCACCCGAATTTCTGCACACGGTGTATAAACCCATGGGAGATTCTGCTATTTATTGTGCAG